ATGCACTAGGCCTGATCTTGCTCTAGCAATGGAAAAGGTGAGCAGGTACATGTCGAATCCAGGGAAAGTTCACTGGGAAGCAGTGAAATAGATTTTGAGATATTTGAAGAGTACTGTGGATTATGGCTTATTGTTTGATGGCTTGTCAGACAATGCCAAGTCCTTGTTTGGCTACGTTGATGCTGACTACGGACAAGATTTAGACAAGAGGAGATATACAACTGGATATGTGTTTACACTTGGCGGCGGAAGCATCAATTGGAGATCTACCTTGCAGAAGTGCGAAGCTCAGTCAACCACAGAAGCTGAGTACGTGGCGGCAGCAGTAGAAGCGGCAAAGAAAGCTATTTGGTTAGTTTAGCTTATCATGGAGATGGTACTAACACAACGCTTGGTCAATCTTCATTGTGATAGCTAGAGTGCTTTACATTTGGCTGCGAACCAAGTCATGGAAAGCAGAGTGAAGCACATCGACATCAGAAATCACTTTATTAGACAAGTAGTGTCTGATAAAAATATTGAGCTAATCAAGATTGACGGTAAACTCAATCCAGCGGATGCATTGACCAAAGTTGTTCCTTTGGAGAGTTTTAGGCGACATTGTGCTACTATGCAAGTTGTGCATATGGACCACGAGAGATATGGTTCTTAGTTACCTTTGTATATTGTTACTCTATCCTCTTATGACTACGGCTTAGTTCTAGTTAACTCTCGTTTAAAGAGGGACCTTGTGATAGGTTTGCATCTAGAATTTCCCGCGGAGTAATAATATAGGTTAGAAAGAAGACTAAAATTCCTTTACGTGAGTTAAGGTGAGATTTTTGAGTTACCTCTGTATATTATTACTTTATCTTGATATGAAAGTAATAATATAGGTTAGAGAGGTGACTGAAATTCCTTGACGTGAGTTAAGGTGATATTGTTGAGTTACCTCTGTATATTATTACTCTATCCTGTACTGGCTACGGTTTAGTTTTAGTTAACTCTCGTTTAAAGAGAGACCTTCAGTAAGGATTTTGTCTACAACTTTCCGCTGAGTAATAATATAGGTTAGAGAGGTTACTAAGACTCCTTAACACGAGTTAAGGGGGAGATTGTTGAAGTTAACTCTAGTTAAGGAGTTAACCGAGCTTAGTTAACTAAGGGTAACCTCTAACTATTGTTGAAGTTAACTCTAGTTAAGGAATTAACCGAGGTTAGTTAACTAAAGTTAACCCCTAACTAAGGTTAATCGCATAGGTAGCTATTTATAGCTTAGAGTAGTTGACTACCTCAGGTATATATACCCTGAGGATGATCAGAAGATGATTACTTCAAGCATTCAGGTAGTAAACTCTCTAGTGCTCTTCTCCCCGTGGACGTAGCCCTTGAGGGTGAACCACGTTATACTCTCGTGTAACTCGTGTTGGTGTGACTCTGGTGTCGGTGTGACGGTTCTGAGTTTTAACGATTACATATTTCTAGTATTCAATATTTTTTTCAACATATTTTTGTTGCAATTTTTTAAACTTTCAAGTTTTTTTTTGGTACTTTTGAATAAATTGATTTCTTATATTCAATGTTACTTTCATATTTAAGTTTTTTTATTAATCAACCTTTGAAATATCTCAGATTTTGATATATATTTATAGAAGATTTTCTGAAGTGCAAATTTTATTGAAATTTTCTATAAATATATATCATCTATAAGCTTTTTGAAGTGCAATTCATGTTCTAAAAAATTTACTATAAATTGTAATAATTAAAATACATTAATATTTTAATCTATACTTTAAATATTTTAAATATACATTACAATTTTATAGTAAATTTTTGAAAAATTTTTCATTTTTCATCCAAGTCATCATCAATATAATGAATGACATAACTCCTTTCATAAAAATTTTTGAAATTTTTTTTGATGAAAAATGTACATGAATTATTTTTTATATTTATATCTAAAAAATTTACTGTAAAATTGTAATGTATATTTTTCATCAACTTTCATCAATTTTTGTCAATTTTAAAAGAGAAAAAGAGATGAACAATTTTATCTGAAGTTATATCATATGTTTGAATCTTAACATACAAATAAATAGAAATCTACATATGAAAGGAAATAAAATTACTTGTTTTATTTTAGATCTTTATGTGATGCAATTTAAATGATGATATTAATTTTTTTAATAAAAATTAATCATTAATTTTTAATTTTTTAATAAAAATTCAGGTGAAATAATATGTCATATTGATATAAATTTTCTTATCATTATGCAGAATAATATTACTGATTTGTTTGTGTGGATGCACAATTCCTTTGAAGAATCACACCATTCATGTAATCATCATAGTATAAACATACACAATTTAATCATGAATAGAAGATATAAAATAAATCTTTTGTAAAACTTGATAGATATGAAATAATTTTTGATATCTCAAGAGATTAATGAAATTTAAATACGAAGTTTTTATCAGTTTACAAATAAAGATTCAAATCTCAATCTTTTATATTCAAACTGCAGATTGATAGAAATAGTGTTGTAAATTTCAATGAATGTTGGAAGTTTTGGCATAGCTATACAACCATGAATTTGATCATTTTTAGCTTTTTGTATTATAGTGTTGTGATGATGTAATTGAAAATATCATATGCATAATATTTTTGAATTAATGATACCAAGCATTCAAGATCAATATCTGTGCAAACAAACTTCTGGCATATGTGTTTGAATATCAATTGATACAGCCGTCTATATGTTGTATTTGTGATTATTGTTTGAATGCATGCCATATACTGTTTCACTCCTATCAAAGGAATTTTTTTTCTTCTCAATGCGGTTTGAAAAAGATGAAGAAGATAGTAAAGATATCGTAACAGTGATAAGAAAAAAGCTAGATTGATCATTAAATGTATGAATTACAAAGATCTAATATTTTGATCTTAGCACCACAAAAATCATCTCATTTCAATAAACCTCCTCTAAGAAGACAATTATCAAACAACTGTTTTGGTAGATGAATATCTATGTATCATATGATAAATAAATCAAATTCCATGTGATAAATATCAGTATTCGAGAAATAGAGAAGTGAAAGCTGGAAATAATTATTTGCTTTCACCAATCACCGACCAATAATAGAAGTATAGTGTTATCTTTGTTAGTTGTGTGATGATGTTGCTTAATATTGTGCTCATACAATACAATAGACCCTTTTGGAGTCAAGACAAGAGCACTAGGGTAATTTCGGAATGAGCTGGCATACTCCAAACGTAGGGTTGATTGGCTATCACAAGCCTATGCAATGAGGTCGAATGATAGTGGCATGAAAAAATGAGGCAATTATTCTCTAGGGTTCGTGGAGGAAGGCTCGAGTGGATTCCAGGAGCCGAATGGACCAGGTGCTACTTAGTGTAGCAGGAACAAAGGTCGAATTTCGCAAATCATTTAATATAGGACCAATCTTGTCCCATGTTTGGAAAAAGGGGCCAACATTATAATTTCCTCGCCGATCTGCCGTAGTTGTGTATCATTGCATCTAGACACGTTGGCAAATCTCGAAAAGCTTACAGAGAGCCTGGGCTCAACTAGCCTCGCGTAATCCGGGAGGAGTTCTTCCCTCTCACCAGAAGAGTTTCCCAGACCTGCCATCCCGATGGAAGAACTGCACCGATTCGGTCAGCAGGACGTAAGTGAATTTCTTGGAATTCACTTACTTCTACGGAATCTCACATCGAGCATTTTCACACTGAAATTGACGGGAATAACATCCGAGAAATGAAAATTTCTCCCTCAACGTGCACGGAAAATCCGATGAGAACTTCTGCGGATTCGAATAGACCAGCCGCTCGCCGTTACCCATGGTTCTTGTCTTTCGGGACTGGTGGCGCCTTCTTTCGTGCGCGCCCCTTTAACGGGCGCCGTGCCGGTAATCCCCGGAAAGTAGAGCGTATCTAACCAGCCGGTGATTCGACGAAGTTTGCGCTACTCGGCCTCGTCGTTGTGCTCGTAGTCTGGTCTGAATATCGAGGGGAGGTGAGGGGGAAGACGGGAGCAGTAAGTAGATGGGTAACGAACGACAGCATGAGCTGGAGAATGGACGAGGAAGGATCCGGCGCGACCCCTGTTCCTTTATAAATTGTTTTCGTTTGTTTTGTTTCGGTGTAAACTATTCGGCAGGTTGATGGCCAACTGGTGGCGGTAAATAGTGTAAGGAATCAATCTTTTCCGCTTCTTTGCTTTGTTTGCCTCCTGTTAGTGACGAGGACTGGAGAGAGGGCATGAAATCGCACCAAGTGATGGTAAATTCTGCAATGGTGATGTCACTGGTCGTATTGCCGATCGACGACCGCCGGGCCCTTGTGTCTCTTCTTCTACTTCCCCGAACAAACGAACAAAGACAGACAACAAGAATGTGAAAAGATAAAGCACTTTGAATTTGACCATGAAAAAGGTAGTAAGGAAGGCCGCAAGGAAGGAAGGAAGATTCTGAAGGAGGAGAAGAAGAAGAAAGTAGTCGCTCGGCTGCTAGTAGGCTGCATGCTGGCCTGCGAGAGGTGGAAGGGAGAGTCGGTCCGTGAGTTTAGACGATCTCGATCGCACAAGGCGGTGAAGATGTACAACGGAGCCGACTTCGACACAATTTGATTCGAATGGTTATCTCGGTTCATAGATCGTTGAAGGAACGGGCAGTGACATGACCAGGCGAGAGCTAGAGATCTGCAGGAAGATCTTCATCAATCACCAACTTGATTATGAACATCCCTCTAGCGGTGAGAGATGAGACACATGTTCAACTCCATAACAATCTGTCGTATCCGCTATCTCTCTTTCTCTCTTTGTCTGTGACGTCGAGCTTATTACACTTCTGAATCAAGTAAAGTCGATTCTTCACTTCGTTATTGAGAGAAATTAATGTCCGTTGCAGCAGCATCGATGTAACCCAGTTTCGAAGTGCTCTGTTTTCCATTGCTTTATTACATCCATCAGATGGTAATTATGGTCGAGCCTTGTCTTCTAGTTCTGGCCTGATGGAATGATAATTATGCTGTATCGAGGAAATCTCTCAAGCAATAGTCTTGCTACGTCCAAGCTTTGTTCTCGGTTGGCATTACCACAATGCATTCGGAAGGGTGATCAAGTCTCCTTTTCGTTGCACGTCGCTGGAGTTCTCAAGCGGCTGTCTGTAGACCTCACGCTGGTTTAGTTTGATTCTCAAGGATCCACTGGATTTCTTTAAGTTTTCATGGCTTTCAAAGCTTCACATGCAACGGTTACCGACGTTGTGATCCTCCGTCATCTAGTTTGGCAGGATCGTCATGATTGCTGTCTTTCTTTGAGATCAAAACCATTCGAGTACGCGTCGCTGCCGTCGTTGATTTCTTTCATTCCTCCTTGAAAACTGAGTGGACTCTAACGGAAGACAGTGAAGATCAAAAGAGCTTTCGTAGTAGGGACTTCAACGAATGGCGCAGCTGTTGCTTCAGAAAGCACTTGCCTTGCTCTTATAATGACTCATCAAAGTCTGGTCGATAAAAGCTGAGTGGACTACTATATTACACGGGTACAGTCGAGTCGCTGGGAAGCGATCCAAACCAATTTTGGGACCACATTTGAAGAGATTGGAACACTAATGCATGCGTAAAGTATGCTTATTACAGACTGCAAGCCTGTGCATGGTAAGGTGATAAGATCCTGAAGCAGTGTACTTGTCCTACGTTTGATCCAGTACAGTTTGACCTCTGATGACAACTACGTTGCCTATGAAGGCCCTTCAATGCTTCCTTTTCGGACATCATCTTCCCCTACTTTGCTTGCGGAATGGAAACGATAACAGATTTGGAGAGCTTGAGAACAGGAAACTAGGAATATCAAACTCTTGTACAAATTGGTTGGACAATAAGCTAGTGGTTGCCTGTTATGGGTATCAGAGCCTCTCGAGTCCAGCACGAACGAGGATACTGCCAGCGCTTGGCACGACAGACGTTCTTTTCTATTTAACCTTATTAAGGCTTGTTGGCTGGCGTGCTGGCGGGTTTAAGCGTTCTTGCCACGTGGAACTGTCATAACCATTTGGTCACTTTCCATTGTATCCAGCCGAGACTAAACGACTATGCACATCATCGGGTTACTGTACTACGCATATGCAAGACAGACAAGAATAGTGTTGAGAACTGAGACCCAGGAGGTACTGATACCCAGTTTCACCTTGGACTTTTGTCGAATTGAACTCAGCCTGCGATTGCAACATTGGTCTAAGCAGTGTTTCGAAACTGCACGGTTTTCAAATTTGGCCAGTATCACCGCGATTCGGGACATTGCTCTCTGTCACTGAGGTAAGAATAGTTCGTGTTAATCCTTATCTGTCTAGAATGTTGAAAATCGCTCGGATGTCGAAGAGATCATGTCGAGAATGTGCACTAATTTTTCTGGGGCGTCGATGGCCCTTCTGTGGTTTTCACAAGAAAGTCATTTTAAACCCATGGCTGTTGCCGCCCAACAAATGTAAAGATTCCGTCTGCAACCTAGCCGATCTAATACTCGACGATGTAGAAATCACAGTATGTAGAGTGAAGAAAATTTGCATTTCCAAAAGTCTGCTAATCATAGTGGAGATGTGTAGACTCACTTGGTCGACCGTACTGATTAAAATTCTGCAGCGTAGGTCCATATGTGCCTTCTTCTAACTCTTCGTGATCTTAAGTGACAATGGAAGATTTGACTGTTTAGTCTGTGACTTATGTATGGTTAGAGAGAAGAGAGGGCTGTTTGCTTGCAAGAAATTGCATCCTGTGAGCAACTCCGACGTTTTGCAGTTACCTGTCACAGAGTCCCGTGTTTTGCCTGTCGTGTCGCATTGACAACAGATTCCCTTCTAGCCTGCTGTTCTGAGGCCACCTAGAAATTCTCCTTCAGGTGTCGCACTTTCGTCGAATTCGTGATATATCACAACGAGCTGACACTTAGTTTTATTCGAGACAAAGGTTGATCAGCTTCTTCTTGATGTGAATATCTTGGCAGAGGAACTAAGACATGCCCATATTTTCGAAAGTCTTCAGTTGATTCAGAATTGGGTACAAAAAATCCACCAACAAGTACGTAGAGATGTGAACCGCGACCAAGGGTCGTAGAAATGTATGTTGAATTTGAGATGTTTACAGTTGTAATTTTACCGAGCCTCGTATGGTCTGACTATAGTTCGGAATCACCTCGAGTAAGTGCAATTCTTGCATGTGGTCCATTACGTAGTAGATTTGATATTTTGCAAGGCGGTGAGATTTTGAGACTAAACTCGTGCCTGGCGCCTTGATCTCGGCATCGTGGAAATTAACCACGCTCTTGAAATTCTGTCAGTAGTTTATATCAGCATTCCATTCGATTTTTTAGCACAGAAATCATACATCTTTGCGGATGTGTGATCAACAGGATCTGAACACGCTATGGCGAAGTCTGTGGCCGAGGTTATCGGGGACATCGAGGTTGAGAAGATAACAGGTCCTTCAGACGCCCAAGCTCTGAAGATAGGCTCCTTCTGGCAGGATCAGGTTATATTTCGTGCAATCATACGTCTTATCCTCCTACTTTATCTTGAGGAAGATGTAGAAATGTGGAGCAGGAGGCAGGCAGGAGTTCAATTTTTGTGATAAAGTATCGTGACACTTTATGTCATGGTCTACCTGTAGGGCGTGGTTGTTCACTTTCTCCGACGCTTTGGATGCCGCTTGTGCCGAGGATATGCCCAAGAATTGTATCAGATCGTTCCCACTCTTGAGGCAAGCGGCTGGCGTGTTGTTGCTATCGGTACGTCTGTACATAGGTTTGAACTAATAAGTTTCCTCAAATGTTCAATGAAGCTGATTTCCAGTTCTCAGTGTGCAAGTTACAATTTAGATATGATTCATCCCCTAGTAACTAGCTTGACTTCTTGTAACTAAGTGTAATCATTTGACCGATGCTCTCATTTGGCACCAAAATCTCCTTATTGTGACCGCTGACTGGCGGGTTGGTTATCGATAAGCGAGTGCAAATATGCTAATTGCTTGCACGCCAGGAAGTGACACATTTTCTTCTCTTGCGCAGGAATTGAAAAGCTTGGTCTTGAGGACTTTCAGGCGGGAGGTTGGTGGAATGGTGAACTTTACATCGACAACGGCAAAAGTGCGCTCAAGGCTTTGGATGTGAAGCAAGTAGGGATCATCACCGCCATTAAGGATATAATCATGAACAAGGATGTCGGAGAGGCCGCCAAGAAAACGAAAGACGTTCCTGGGAACTTCAAGGGAGATGGCAGGTCAGTTCCTTCTACTACTACTTGGTTTCCATTGTATTTCAATTCGACATTCGTCCTCCATGTCATTTCACATACTATCAACTGGAAGGGCCACGGAAGAACAAAATGGTGCACCATAACGTTGTCCTGTTTCGGGTATATGCTCTGATCCGCTATTTTTTTTCACACCATGGAAATGCCATAGTCTATCTTTGTTCTCTTCCCTCAAACTTGCGATAAATTTTTGACGTTTTACTTGGGTTTGTGCATCAGGCAACTGGGAGCAACTTTTGTCTTTGCAAAAGGGGGTGAAACTCTGTTCGACCACAGGCAGAAAAATTTTGGTGATCACCCATCGAATGTATCAATTTTGAGGGCTTGTGGTATTGATGAGAGCACCGTGAAGCAATCTCTTGTAGATCCTTCTCCTGCTGTGCAATGTGACACAGACGCTAGTGCACCTGCCTCGTCGTGAGGAGGAGGAGACCTTCTTTAAAAAGGGTAGTCTGATACGGTATCTGCGAGCGTTCGATAATCACTGCTCCGTTTAAAACTTTTCTCATCGTGGATAGTGTATCGTAAAGTGTTATGACGTATTCACTGATCGTTAGTATGGTAGCCTTCAGATTTTTCATTCAAATCAACCTGTCGTAAACTTTGAAGTATCCAGCAGATTTACCGGTATCTATGACTTGTAAGTTCTATTCAGAAGCCATGCAGTGAGCTTATTGCTGTTATAGTTAGCCGACCTGACCCTTTACAGTCGGAATTCTCCGTGTCCAGAGAAGATCCACCATATACTTTGTAAACGTTGCTGTAAAACTCTTACTGTACCGTGACATCTTGCGCATAAGTTGGCATGTGTAAGCTTATGCACCAAGTCTTCTTCTACTTGAGTCATTGACTCATAAGTTATGAGTCCTGAATCGTTATGAGTCATAACGATACAGGATTCGTACATGTCTTTATCAATAAGTTCACAGTATGAATTCGCCTACAACGGTTAGCTACATGGTACGTCATATGCCTTAATGTTATCGCAGTATTTTGAACAAAGCAGAGCTCGTCTACATTTGATCTTCACTTCTACGCACAGATAAAGGTGTCCACCTTGGAATGCCGACTGCACAACCGGGTGAGCTTAAAATCGTATACGCTGTACAATATCTCATTTCTGTGTTGCGTATGTCCAGCTCAACATTTATTCCAACCTTGACGTCCGAAGTGGATGTACCAAAATGAGTCGATGATGCCGAAGTTTCAGTGAGGCCACGTGCTGTTGATGGTGACACTGCACTGTCACCTGGCGGTGACAGGTCTGCCTCTTCCTGAGGCTACAGATTCAATTATGCAGCATTTTACTTTTAGTTGTGAAAGGGTTGGCCTGTTGACACACGAATGAAAATTGGATGTTACTTCATCGAGAAAAATATATATTCAAGTTGCAATCCTTAACTGGTGGGATAAAATGGTCCTACTTTAGTGGTGTACCAGGTATGAGGGAAAAAATGGTAAATAATAACTTCATATGATCGATGAGTTAATTTTGGTTTAATTGAAATTCACTAAAGTTCCTTTTCCAGTTCTTTGCACTTGAAATGATGTCAAGGTGAGTAACTACTCTGAAATTTGTAACATAATCGTGCGCCTGTCACATTCTGAATATTTTAGGATATATTTTACAGCTAAAAATTGAACTTTTTTTAGAATATCTAGTACCCATTGCACTTTTTGAAATGCTTAATCTTTATATAAATCATTTGACTATTTCCTTCAACAGAATGTAAAGCATGTGACAGTGGTTTTGCCTTGTGATTAAGCAATCTAAAGCAAAGTATTACTTAACACTTAACAAAAACATATAATTTTACTCATTTTTTATAACCAAGAGAAAGGAGTGGAATTATATATTTTCAGTTTAAAACAATTATTTATAGAAACAAGAGTTTAGGGATTTCATTTGGTAAGAGATTTCTTGAAACTAGGATACACTTGAGTGCATTGCGGTCTCTCCCATGATATATATGTTTCATTTAGATTCATTACTGTGCCCTCTATCTTTGTTGGAACTGAAAGAATTTGAATGTGAGGATTATTGGATATGCTTAGAACTAACATGCGATATACAAGGATGGACAACACAATCTAGAAGCATACATGCGAAATATCATCACATGACAGTAAACTACAATGCTTTAAGAATCTCCATCATAATTTGTAAGGATGTTTGATGATGTTTTTCTATCCATTCATCTTTGAAACTTGAACCGTGATGTCCACTCTCATTCAGTGAGGGAGACTTAACTGAAACCGGTGAAGCTACAATCTGGACCTTCCGGTGCAAATGTACTTGGCTAGACCCAGGCTGTCCCCGAGTCGAGGATCAAATTTCCAACTTGTACACACACAATGCTCCAAGACTGCTATCCCGCAAGGACGATGTAAGTATGTCCCGAACAAGATCCGATCCTCAACTAAGCTCATGAACACGTATCATGAATCAATTTTCAATTCCAATATCTTGAAACGCTTGCATGACTGGTCATGCCTGACAGTCTTGTATGCGATGTAGGTGTAATAAAGCTTTCACTTGTTGACTTAGCACTTCCATCCAATGAATATGTTTTCACAAATGCTTGAATCCGCATGGCTTTCGTGAGGTCAGTTGAGAAGTAGGTGCCATATTCGATGCCATTCACAAGGTTTCAACTTCTCAATTTATTCAATGAATCTGTTGAATATTCCTTTCAGTAATTAAATATATCATTGCTGAATTCTGTACAGTCAATTTCCTCCACTAATATAACCTGGAGTCAAGGTAACGGGTCTGACAGTATGTCATTTCTGAACGCACTGGGAACATGTGCACACTGCTGCAGCTAAACGTGTCCAGTGGTCTCTTTGTTCTGCAGGTGTGCCTCACGCGCACCTTGCGTACTTCACGATTCCATTCAGTACCGCACTTTTGACCGCAGTTTGGGGCAATTTAAAATGACAATGAACAATTTAGCAGCAAAGGTGGAAATTTTTTCTAGATGCAAACGTTACCACTTGGATTTTCACTACATTTCACACACTTCGCACAAAAGTGATGATTTTACGAGTTGACAGAAGGAGAAAAGTCAAAAGCGCCTTGTGTTTACTCACATCCTTTTGCGCTATCTTTGTGATCTCCTGGAGTTACTAACGAGGATTGCACGTGCTTGGTAATGCCTCACTCCATACATATATATATATCCCTCTCTGGCCCTGGGCCCAGATTGAGCAAACAAAAGATCTCTGGCCGAGAGAAAATGTGGACCGTAGTCACGTGCAATAATGATAGAAGTGTGATGAGCTGAGAGAAATGAAAAGGGGCACCTTGGAAAGGTACCCTTGGATTCAAATCTAAAATTCTACCTAAATACTGCTGATGAAGGAATGTGGTGTAAGCAAAAGAGCAGGATAAAGTGAATTGGAACTCAATGCCTTGATTGATCTCTTTCCAGGTTTCCAATTCGGGGTCTGGAATTCTTGAAATTTCTATATAGAATGTCAGACTTGTGAATTAATATGATTTTGAGTTTGTTAGTGTAGTCAAAGACGTTTTGGGCACAAGCAAACTCTAGCATACTTTGAACACTAAACTTCAACCAAACACACAACCCTTCTACTTAAAATTACAATCCTTACCGGATTGTAAAGCCATTGAAATACAGATTTGTTATTTTTTACGGATTGTAAGTACTTGGCAACCTCCTATATTCTTATCAATCAAGAACGTTTCTACCTATATAAACAAAAGCAAATCTGTCTTCAAGTCATTCGCATAGGTCGATCCATGAACTTTTCGTAATGACTCATTCACTAATAAACATATTCGAGATTGAATATTACAAGATATTGAGAAGAACAACAATAGAGGAGCATACAAAAAAACTTGTTATGGAAAATAAGATTTGTTGTATTAGAAAATGAAAAAATAAGAGTGAAAATGAGTTGGAGAGGTAAAATTTCATTATCAAAGATTCAAGTTCAAAAAGAACCAAAGTTCATCATAACTACATCGTCAAATCAGAGAAAACTTCAGAAGATTCAAGATCACCAATATATATTTAGCTCCTTCACAATCATGTTTTCAAAACGTAGGCTGTTCCTGCTTTTCTTGTTTCTATCAAGGAGTAAAAATTAAAAAGCAAATATATATATTTTTTTGTGTTTAGTTACAAAAATCTGAAGCATGTGAAATTAAAGACATTGAATTTGAGAATAAAAACTTGTCATATTCGTGAAAAAGAATGTTGAATAAATATGATTACAATTGTGGTGATGCAAAAAAAAATATCAACATATTGAAGTAGGTAGGTTTTATCTATGAAGTAGTATATTCTAAATGAATATACTACTTCAAAGAATAAATGACAGGTAAGAAAAAGAATAGCACTTACGTATATGCGTGGATTACAAGAAATTAAATGTTGTCGCAAAGAAGAATCATTATCATCTACTTTTATAGATAAGAATCTAAAGTAGTTTGTAGGTTATGAATGATATAATTTTGAAGATAATTGAAATAATTATAATCAAATTCAACTTGCTTCAAAATATCAAATTAAAAATATTTTTATCATATCATGAAAAAAATTTTCTTTGTGAGTGATGCTAAAATCATTATAAGTTTGTTGGAACTAAGTAAAGGTAGCTCAAGATGAAAATTTAGTTACATGATAGTAGATTATTTATAATTGTCATGTCAACAATCTACATGCTTGGTTGTAGAAAGTAAGTGTGTTAGTTGAAAACTACATTTAAACAATTCGAGTGCTTGGTAGATAAGTATTGATTGATAAGTTGATAACATTTGATAAATTAAAAAAAACATGTTAGCAATCCATGTCTTTGTTAGAATTATTTGCAATGTCATTAATCTACTAAAGTGAAATGGATGATGAAGGTAGAATTTTATCAATTTGTACTTGTTGATAATATATATAAGGAAGAACAATATCATCTAAGTATCTTTTATCTTCAGAATTGTGATTTGTATTCCAATGAGCTACTCCTTTACCCCTTAGTGTTTCAATGCCATTAGAATTAACTTCTTCTTTCTTTGATTGTGGATTATTCATCATAAAATAGCAAGAATTTGGTGATAGTCTTTAGTTCTTGAGAGTGTATAGTGGCTCAAAAAATCATTGATTTGCATGTAAAGAAAGTTGAAATAGAGAAACATGTAGTTTTGCAGATATGGATTTGACTTAGAAAAATAAAAAACTACAATGTTCAATCTACGACCTCTTTGATATACATATTTATATTATGAAGAAACATTATTTTTGCATTTACATTGTGACACATTGAGGTGCAGATTTTATAACTAGAATGATGAAATTGAGAGTGTCATTGATATTTCCAACTATTAATCACAAAGACATTTGGAATTATACCATCTACATTATGTATTAAATTTTTGTGATTCAATAGATTTCACATCTATGGAGTTGAAAAAATTGTGATGTAAAAAATTTTATGCATCATCACAAGTATCAGCACCAAAGTTTGGATGTGAGATTTGGCAAACAATGATTTCAAATTTATGAGAAGTGTATGGAATGGTTCAAGGAGTAAAGGTAATTTGTGACAATTGTCAATTTTATGCTTGCAAGAGTATTGATCACATTACTAAATTTTGCCAAATTCAACTATGATCACAAGGAGGACGCTCAATCCAACAACAACCTTTAAATAATATGAAAGTTGCAAAATATAAAAAAACTGATGAAATAGTTTCAGGAAACCGAGATCATTCATGAACTTGCATTGTAACCTTATCACTTTCACAAAATAGAAAAAATACGAGTTTGGAAGAAAATAGTGCTTAGATGCTCATTAAAGTAGCAAGAAACAAGTTAAGTTTATTGTCACCAATGGCATTGTGGAAGTACACAAGATGGAACTATTGATTGATCATAGAGTAACATTTTTTTTTTAGTTCAATCTTATCACTGTTGCAATGAAATTAGAATTGATATTGATGAAGTATGTAAATGAAGAAGTGACTTCGCCAAACATACAAACTAAAACAATAGAAACATTAACAAATAACATAGAGTTACCTATAGCATACAAGATTGAGATTGAATGAAGAGTGATTTGTTTAGCTTGATATAATATCATACTAAGAATGTCATGGATTGAGCAATATAATTTGGAGCTAGATTGTAGAAAAATTATAAAAAGTAATAGTTGAAAAATACTAAGAATGTTATGGATGGAGCAATATAAGTTAGAGTTAGATTTGAAGATAAAAAGTAATAGTTGAAAATCCATAGATAGTATTAGATATTGGAATATAAATTTATCTCTCTTTTTGATGGATAGATCATTTCTTTCAAAATTTTGTATGGATATTGAGACTAATAAAATATATTATTAGATTCAAGAACAAACTTAACATTTCAAATTTCTTGAATGATATTTTTATGGAATATAAATATGTTTTTACATATTTATATATATAATTTAAGTAAAAAATTCAAAGAATGCAAAATTCAAGTGGATATAGGTTGAGCAAAGTGTTTATTCAACCAAATGTTTTATCTTATGAAACTTTAGAGCTATTCATGTAGAAGCAAGATGATAGCAAGCAGTTATGCATTGATTACCGTGGAGTGAATTAGAAAACGGTGGGGAAAAAATATACACTATCTCGTATGAAAAAATTGTTTGATAAACTTCAAGGAGAAAAATACTTCATCAAATAAAATCTAAGTAACAATTATAGTTGATAATATTCACAAAATTGCTTTTTGTACTAGTTATGAACACTTTGAATATCCATTGATGCTTATTGATCTCGTTTGTGCATATGTTAAATTCTTGAAATTGATGAACAATAATTCTGTCCATATCTAAATAAATCTATTATTGTTTCATTGTGGTAGCGCAGTTTTTGTTTTTTTGGAGATAAAGCAATTTTTTTGAATAGTAAGTACCGCGGTAGTAGTTGTAGATAAGAATCGGTACGTGAAAAGGAAGTAAAAAGGGAATGACGACGAAAGGGAGGAAGTACTTCCTCCGAAGGCAGTCGGGTGCCTTGGGCGGGACGGGCGGTTCAAGCTGCAAGGCCTGCTTCATGCGCGCCTTCGGCGGAGGAGCCTTCGGTCGAAGCGCCTTCGGCGGAAGAAAGTGCCTTCGGCTCAAGCTCCTTTGGCGGATGAGCTCGTGCGGAAGACGCAAGCGTTAGAGCAGAGCGAGGCTGCTAGAAGGGCAGAGGAGGAGTTGCTAGGTCGACTGCAGTCGCAGTGCGACGAATTGAGGACGTAGCGGGCGGCGGCGGAGTTACAGTTGGCAGAGGTTGAAGGCCACAACCGGCGCGCGACAGATCACACGCGGGAGGAATTAGTTTTGTGGGTTGACCGTTGTTTGAGAGGTTATGCTCGCTGGGAGATCGCGGCGTGGGAGAGGATGACGTTGCGCGAACCTGAGATGCGCGCGACAGCTTTGATGGCTGGCGATGGACGAAGTCTGCGGCGAATGGCAAAGCGGTTGTAATCATTCCTGTCCAGGTCGTGGGACGCCATTGCGAACCTCGAGGCAGAGGTTACCGAGGTGTTGCGGCGGCTC